TTAGGCCCCAAAGGACCGTCTAGCAGGGCAAGACCACGGCTGACTCACCGGGAACGGAGAATATGCCGCGATCGAGGAGACGATGACGATGGAGCCACCCCTGGAAGGGAAGGGGAGGAAAGGAGAAAGATTCTGCTCTTGGTGCTCTCTTTCTTGATCCTCTGTTTTCACAGTCCTCCCTTCCAACCCCTTCTTTCCCCATGACCACCATTTTATTTTGGTCCCAGTGTGCCAGCTACAGAAACCACCCGGTCTCTGTCCCCTGGAGTTTTGTCAGGTGGAGGACATGGAGAAGAGGTTGGGGATAAGGTGGATTTAATAAGGGGGTGGGCATGAGGAGAAACCACTCAGGAGCCAGGAAGCAGGCAAGGCAAAGTGATGGCAGATCAGAAAAACAAACTCAGAAGAAAAAGGAGGAGGAGGAGATTGGATTTATACCCCGCCCTTTACTCAGAGTGGCTTGCAATCTCCTTTCCCTTCCCCTCCCCACAACAGACAACCTGTGAGGTAGGTGGGGCTGAGAGAGCTCTTTTGAGAACTGCTTGTGAGAGAAGAGCTCTGAAAGAACTTGTAACTGACCTAAGGTCACCCAGCTGGCTGCATGTGAAGGAGTGGGGAACCAAACCTGGTTCTCCCAGATTAGAGTCCGTGTTCCAATCCTAACCACTACATGAAGGAAAGGAACATTGGGACCAAAGCTCCCTCTAACCTGTGGAGTCTTGTGAGCAAAAATTCTACTTTGTGAGCGTCTGGCATTAAAGTTGCGAGCGAGAGATTTGGCTACTGCATAAATTAGTTTGCTCTCGAGCCATCCTTCCTGAGCTAAGACAAAAAAATGTGTGAGCCGGAGGCTAAAAAACTGTGAGCTAGCTCGCAGTAACTTAGTTTAGAGGGAACACTGATCGGGACCAGTTTTGAGTGTGATCTCCGGAGCATCAGAGTCCACCTCAGAAGGTGAAGGGCCGTGACTGGCCCCCGCATCCACAGCAGGCCGAGAAGCCAGCATCTTTAAGAGGGATCTGGCTAGGTTATTTAACTACGACAACCAGGAAAGAAAGCCGGTTATTGATCAGGTAGGCCGCTCTGGGTTGGGAAATTACCTGGAGATTTTGGGGGGTGAAACCTTTGGAAGGCAGGGTTTGGGGAGGGGGGGCGAGGGAGCTCAGTTCCTTCCAGATTTCCTCCAAGGGAACTGTCTTCCATAGAGATCTTTTGGAGTTGGGGTTGCCAACCTGTAGGTGGTGGCTGGAGATCCCCTGGGTTTACACCTGATCTCCAGATGACAGAGCCACTTTGGAAGATGGCGTCTGGGGATTACACCTGGCTAGGGTCTCTCTCCCCTCCTCAAACCGCACCCTCCTCAAACTCCACCCCCCAAATCTCAAGGAATTTCCCAGCTTGGTACTGGCAACCCTAGATGTCGGTCTGGCAGATCTCAAGGCTCAACCCATAAGTCCCCTGTAAGTCAGTCAAAGATGGTTTGGGCCTTGCCTCTACTAAAGATGCCAACTGTCAAGCTCAGGCCGAGTTAACTTTCGTTTCTGTAAGTTTCACTTCCCTTCCCTTTGCATTGTCATATAGAAGGGGGGGGTGGAATTCCTGAGGGGTGTGTGTATGTTGTGGAAGTGCATGGGGAGTAGTAGCCATACCAGGGCTATGTTTGGGCAGGAACGCACAGGAACGGAGTTCCGGCTGGCTCCAGAATTGGCCACACCCAGCAGAAACTCATTAGCATAATAGGCCACACCCAACAGCAGGAACTCATGAGGATTGGCTACATTAGGGGTGTATGGCCTAACATGCAAAGGAGTCCCTGCTACAAAAAAAAGCCTGGGTTTTGACAATAAACAAAGTAAGCAGAATAAGAAGCAAAAGGTGGGTGTGGCTGGATGACCACACTTCTGGTAACATGGGGGTGCGGCCAATTATGCAAATGAGTTTTGCTGTCATGGTGTGGCCTAATATGCTAATGAGTTTCTGCTGTTGGGTGTGGCCTATTATGCTAATGAGTTCCTGTTGGGCTTTTTCTACAAAAAAAGCCCTGGCCATAACCATTTCTCAAGTTGTGCCCGGAGAGTTGGTTCTCATGAGATCCACCTTGGAGACTCTTTTGCCTGGCTAAAGTAGATAGGGCATCATCTGTCTAAGTTGCCATAGAAACGCTAAGGGGGTAGGTGTGACGTATGGATGTATGGGGTTTCATGCGCTTACCTATGACCTGTATGTTTCCGCAGTTTTCCTCAGTCCTAACAAGAGTTCTTGTACCTACAGCAAGCATATCTCTAATAAAGCATTTCACTGCCAAGAGTGTGTGTGGAGAGTGTTTTAGCTGGGGACCTGACACCAACCCTCCACTAAGAAGAAGAGATTGGATTTATACCTCACCCTTCCCTTGGAGTTTCAGAGCGGCCTACCATCTCCTTCCCTTCCTCTCCCCACAACAGACACCCTGTGAGGTAGGTGGGGCTGAGAGAGCTCTTTCGAGGACAGCTCTTGAGAGAACAGCTCTGAGAGAACTTATGACTGGCCCAAGGTCACCCAGCTGGCTACAGGTGGAGAAGGGGGGGAATCAAACCCGGCTCTGCCAGATTAGAGTCCGCCGCTCTTAACCGCTACACCAAACTTAACCACTAGGAACCTGGAGTTCTGCCAGAATCAAGGCCTTTTTCACAGCCAGGCTGGGAAAGGGTGGGGATTGCACAGCACTGGAATCTTTTGCCAGGTGCTGGGAACTGCTGTTACAACCACTTACTGGACACACCAGAATAAAGTTTGAGTACAGTGGCACCTTGAAGACCAACAAAGTTTTATTCAAAGTATAAACTTTCGTGCTTTGCACGCAAGCTTATACCGTGAATAAAACTTTGTTAGTCTTCAAGGTGCCACTGGACTCAAACTTTGTTTTACTTGACACCAGTTTCAAGGTCTAAAATTCCCAACTTGATCCTGAGGCCTGTTCTCTCCAAGACCGACTTGCTGCTCTGGATTTCAGCTCCTCAGAGCTTGCCTGGTGCTAAAGTAGAACAAGAGGGGGGGAAAGCCATGGCTGGGCTTCTGAAAAAGGTATAGCAGAACTGCTGTTGGAGAAGAGGAGACGAGACGACAGGAGCAGGGGTGAGCTCACGCGGAAAGGAGAGGGTTAAAATGGGGCTCCCTAGAGACAAGAACAGAACAACACTCACAGTGCAGTCCTACGTCCACTGAAGCAAATGGACTTAGAAGGGGGTCCCTCTGCTTAGGACTGCACTGCAAGACCCAAGACCCTGCAAATGTCAGCACTGAGGACTAGAAACTTGGATGGGCAGTATGCCCAAGTAAGTGTGACAGCAGCGAAAGGCAAAGGAGGGTGGGTGTGGGTAGCAGAGGCTGCCTTTATGATTCCTGTGTCGGAAAAGATCACTCAGGAGGGGTGGAAGGTTGTCCAGGGGACAGAGGACTCGGTGGGTGGGCCACAGTCTGGCTTCCCTTGCCCTGGGGTGTCTCTTCTGGGGCCCGCCCCCTGGGTCTCACCCCCTCTTCTCCATGTGAGGCACAACCAGCTTGACCAGCAGAGCGGTGGCCTTGACGTTGATATCCAGGATCTGAGAAAGAGGAAGAGAGAAAAACCAGTCTTCAGAGAACGGTTCTCCTGGAGGAGATGTCAGCTGTAGATGGTGGACTCTGTGGCATTATATCCTGCGGGGTTCCCTCGCCAAACCCCACCCTCCCCGGGGCTCCACCCTCAAAATCTCCAGGAATTTCCCAACCCAGAGGTGGGAACCCTACAGAGAAGGCTGCTGAGAAGGGTGGGCCTGGAACCCCCCTGACGTCCCGCCCAGCCTGAAACAGGGGTAGCTGAGGCCCAGAATGACAGGAACAGACAATGTGAGGGAGGCATTATGGGGTGTGCTGGGGCACTGTTCCTCCGGCCCCCTAGTCACATGACCCACTTTCTGTGGGCAGCCACGGCAACCCTCCTGGCCTGAGGTGGGCTATATTTCCCACGAGGCTTTGCTGCAGGCCAACCTGCCCGCTTCGTCTGATTGGGCGTCACAAGCGGAGCAGTGCTGGGAAGGGGTGACGGGTGTTTCCCCCACACCCCTCAGGTCCTCTCTCCTGAAACTCAACTTTTAAGCGTCCTTCCCTGCGGTTGCCAACTTTGTTATTAGCCCCTGTGCCTCGGACGGACAATGCGAAGGCTTCTCTCCGGGCTGTGAAAAGAGCTGCACTTGCCTATTGTCGTTCCTCACCTTGCTATGAGAGACACAGAAACAGGCCAGGGCTTTTGCCCTGGTCGGCTGGCAACCGTACCCTTCCCCTCTCTCCCCTCACAGAATTTGTCCCGACACGAACAGGGGCCCTCTCACACAAATTCCTGATTTTTCCCTCCAAATTCTCACACCTTGTCCCACACATCTTCGGTGGCGTCGACGGTGCTACCAAAAAACGGATTCACGGCCGCGTTGGACACCAAGATGTCGATGCCCCCGTGGCGCTCGAGGGCCTAAATCGGGAGAGCAGAATTTTAGAATGACACAGCCTAATAAATGTCACTTTAAAAAGCCAGCCTGACACAGAATATACCTGCCCGGATCGGCCTCTTTTAAAATTTCGGAGCAGAGTTGCTCCTGCCCTGACAGGAGATAAATCTATCTCACTCTCTGGGAGCATCCCAGGCGAAAGCGGATAAACGGGTTTGGTGGAAGCTCCTTAAATGGAGGCCTTTGGGGGAATCGAGTTCCACCTACCCACCCACCCTCCCCACACACTCCCAGTTATGAAACCAAAGACTCTTCGGGGTGTGTGGGAGGAGATATAAGGAGAGCCAGTGTTCCCTCTAAGCTGAATTAGTGTGGGCTAGCTCACAGTTTCTTAGCTTCTGGCTCACACATTTTTGTCTTAGCTCAGGAAGGAGGGCTCCAGAGCAAACGAATTTATGCAGCAGCCAAATCACTCGCTCACAACCAATGTTCCCTCTAAGCTGTGGAGTCTGGTGAGCAAAAATTCTACTTCGTGAGCCACTGGCATTAAAGTTGTGAGCGAGCGATTTGGCTGCTGCATACATGAGTTTGCTCTGGAGCCCTCCTTCCTGAGCGGAGGCAAAAATGTGTGAGCCGGAGGCTAAAAAACTCTGAGCTGGCTCACACTAACTCATTGATGCAGCAGCCGAATTGCTCGCTCACAACTTTAAGGCCAGTAGTTCACATAGTAGAATGTTTGCCCAAAGGACTCCGCAGCTTAGAGGGAGCATTGAAGGAGGCGGCACTTCCTGAACAGGGGAACGGCCAAGAGTAGAACAGCACACGGCATGCGTAGGATACGAATAATACAAAACTACCATATACTGAATCAGACCATCAATCTATCGAGTTCAGTATTGTCTACTCAGACTGGCAGCAGCTCTCCAGGGTCTAAGGCGGGGGTCTTTCCTATCGCTTATCGCCTGGTCCTTTTTTACCTGGAGATGCCGGGGTTTGAACCTGGGACCTCCTGCATGCCGAGTAGGTGCCCTACCACTGAGCCATGGCCCCTCCCCAGAACACATGAAATCAGACCCTTGGTTCATCAAAGTACGTATTGTCTACTCGGACGGGCAGCAGCTCTCCAGGGTCTCGGGTGGAGGTCTTTCCCATCACCTACTGCCTGGTCCTCTTTTAGCCAGTTTGGTGTCGTGGTGAAGTGCGCGGACTCTAATCTGGGAGAACCAGGTCTGATTCCCCCACTCCTCCACTCGCAGCTGCTGGATGACCTTGGGCAAGCCATTGTTCTGTCAGAGCTGTTCTTGAAAAAGAGCAGTTTCTGTCAGAGCTCTCTCAGCCCCACCTCCCTCACAGGGTGTCTGTTGTGGGGAGGGGAAGGGAAAGGGGTTTGTAAGCCGCTCTGAGACTCCCTTGGGTAGAGAAGAGCGGGGTATAAATCCAATCTCTTCTTCTTCTTCTCTTCTTTTATCTGGAGATGCCAGGGATTGAACCTGGAACCTTTTGCACGCCAAGTAGGTGCCCTGCTACTGAGCCACAGCCCCTCTTCTAAACCTCTTTTAGTTTCCTCTTTTGTAGGATGTATCTGCCGGGGCCACAGTTTGAAGGGTGGGAACGGGCTGATTAATTCCTCTCCCTCAACCTGTTTTACTGCTATAAATCCCCCTCCTCCTCATTTTTGTCCTTCGTATGTGTGTAACTGTGTGTGGGGGGAATAAGTAGGGCTGAGATTCGGAGGACACATGAGACGAAGGGAAGGGGTTAAACAACCCTCCTTCACCGTCAATGCTCCTTCTAAGCTATGGAGTCTTGTGAGCAAACATTCTACTTTGTGAGCTCCTGGCATTAAAGTTGTGAGCGAGCGATTTGGCCGCTGCATCAATTAGTTTGCTCTGGAGCCCTCCTTCTGGAGCTAAGACAAAAAGGTGTGAGCCGGAGACTAAAAATCTGTGAGCTAGCTCGCACTAACCCAGCTTAGAGGGAACACTGCTCACCGTACCTCTCTCCCCCTCACCTCCAACTAAATCACAGCCCCTGCAGTTGTATTCTGCTTAAAAATAAGAACATCTCTGGTTCCAGAGGATCACAGAATTGCACACAATGTGTCCTTTGGCTCCCTCTCTCCCACGTCCTGCACTTTGGACTCTGGAGTCCTGGATCGCCACCCCAGCCCTCCTCTCCACCAATGGGGACGTTTATCCCTTCTGCCCTTGCAGATGTTCAAGTGAGCAGGAATTTGGGGTAAAGCTCCTCTTTAAAGGCTGAGGAGGTAGAGACGCACTACTCCTGAACTGCGACTGGAGCAGGAGCTGCACTCCTGGAGTGATGCGCATATTTCCAGTCCTGAAATGAGAAAAGAGGAGGATTCTGGGCCAGTGAAACATGAGTCCACTGAACATGGGGGGGTGGGGCGGGCGATCAGGGTCTGTCCTAGATGTCTGGTCGGCTGAGGCGGAAAAGCACTTGGCACTGTCTCCCTTTTAACTCATTTAACATGGAGCTCAGTCTCCAGGAAGGTCCTCCACACAAACCCCACTGAACTGCCATCCTCTCGCATGATGCAGCTCGCGTGAGGGAACTTCCCGCTGGATCACGACCCACAACTCAGATCCGTCCGTGAGCTTAAACAGTGCCCCAAATTGGCTTGAGGTGGATTTGTCACATCCTGTTAGGCCCACAGGCAGCCGAACTGGATGTGACAAATCCACCTCAGGCCTCTGGGCCTAACTGGGTGTGACGTTTTCCACAAGTACACTTGGAGGCCCACCATTACCTCAGATGTTTGGTTAGACCTTGATCTGTGGCCGCTGTCGAACATATGTACACTACCAGCTAGAAGCTGAGGGGCACAAAGTAGTCGCCACCCCTGAACGCACCCTCTGGTGGCCTCCATGACCTCATGGAAGTTCCTTGGGCTGGGTGAGGAAAGAAGAGGCTCGGGAAGGGAGGAAGGCCAGCCGGCCTGCAGGCCGGTTACTGTCCTCTCTGGCTTCCTCATAGCATGGCGGCGCAGGGGCATGAGAGCAGGACACAGGAAGAGGCACACGCCAAGATGGCGACAACAACAGTGGCATGGTTTCGCTACCCCTCAACGAGCACACCATCAGCCGTCGCCTGGTAAGGCCTCCACAGGAGAAACCCCTGCATGATCGCCATTGAATTTTCACATGTTGCTGAGGGTTCTGGGAACTGTTATAGGGTGCGCACTGTAACACCGTCGCCCTGTGTGAGCTGAACATGCCGACGGCCATTTTGTGGTACACGACTGGTCAGTTGTCCTCACTGGAAGACCACCTGTCATTAGCGAGCGTCTGGCAGAGGAGCCCCAACCCTCTAAGTCAGTCCCCTAAACCCTTGAGCTCGAGGGCCCTCGGTGTACAGAAACAAAAAGGTTTTTCCACATGCGCATGCAGCCTCAAAGACCCACACGCTCACCACATCGATCAGGCGCTGCCTGTCTTCGGCCTTCCCCACGTGACACACCAGCCCTGAGACGCTCAGGTTCTCCTTCTGCAGCTCTGCCACGGCCTGGTCCACGTTGGCTTGTTTTCGGCTGCTCACGACTACGTGAGCTCCATCCTGGCCTAGGCGGCGGGCGATTGCAAAGCCGATCCTTGTCAAAACCAAGCGCGAGGGGGGAAGAAAAAAAGATTAGATGTATACCCCGTCCTTCACTACTCAAAGGAGTCTCAGAGTGGCTTACAAATTTCTTTCCCTTCCCCTCTCCACAATAGACACCTTGTGAGGTAGGTGGGGCTGAGAGAGCTCTCTTGAGAACTGCCCGTGAGAGAACAGCTCTGAGAGAACTTGTGACTGACCCAAGGTCACACCAGCAGCTGCATGTGGAGGAGTC